CAGCCATAATTCATCTCGGGCAGCTGCTGAGCTTGTTTACCGATGGGATTTCCTCCGCGTGGCGCAATGTGCCCCCCGAGCGCACGCGGAGCAGCCCAAGGGCAGGAGCCACGCCAGCGGCCCAGGAGTGAATCCCTCCCATGGTTCCTGCTCCGCGCGACAAAAACCACGACGCCCTTTCGAGCACGGCCGTGCACCGGGTCGGCAGCCGTGGGCCGGGGCCCAGGACGCAGCCGGAGGCCAAGGGGGGGGGGGACAGCTCAGGAAAGGCCAAGGGTGGGGGTGACAGCTCAGGAAATGTGCGCCCCTTTTCCACCTTTTTTAAAAACTCGGCCTGTTTATCCCTTTAAGCTATTCGGCACTGAAGGGACGTGCTTGTGAAAGCTCGCACCCGCCCGTCAATGCGCGGAGAGCCTCCGCTCTGGCAGGCGAGCTCACAAGAGGGCTTTTGAGCTGGTTTGTCACCCTTCGCTCCGTCAACAGGGCTCCAGGCAGAAGCTCATCCGGCACAGACACCCCTCTCAGGCTGCCTGCCCTCTTGTTTTCCCGGCCAGCCGGACCATGCTCCACTGCTGACCTCAGGGCAAGAGGAAGAAGCTGCTTATCTCACACCCAGGAAATATTGTCACTGGCTCTGTGACCGGGCGGTGCCGACGGCCAGCGTGCCCCGGCTTCGGGCAGCTTGCAGGAGGCTCAGAGCTCTGCAGGCAGCGTGTGGGCAGGGCAGGTTTTACCACTGGGGTTTAGGTCCCCAGCACGGGCAAGTTGTGTTAGCAGTGAATTACGCATTTAGGATTGCCCCTGCAAAAACCAAAACTGCAGAGGTGAGAGGAAAAAAGGATGCTGACACTTTGGTTCCTTAAATGCTGAAGTCAAAGTGTGGTTTGAAAAGCAGCTCTAATTTGGAGCACTCGCCGCCCTCCCAGGTCCGACTCATACGGTGAGATTTAATTCCTTGGCAAAGCAGCGACCTTTAGGCGTGCCCCCAGCCACGCCATTTTCCAGGAAGCATTTCTATGACGTCTTCGCACTGGAAGCTCTTCGTCTGACTGTTAAGGACACGGCTTGCGGCCCGGCAGCGGGACACTTTGCACCAGACGATGAGAAACCAGGGGAATTTTATTGAAACACAAACAGCGGTTAGACAGCAATGAAAAAAATAACTTAGCTCAGTTTGTATTGAAGTCCATTATCCGAAAGGTACCCGATATAAAAATGTACAAAAATAACTTAGAATATAAAAGTTCCGTATTTCTAGTAAAACCCTTTTGTACAGACATTGGTATTTTACAGTCGCCTTGGCCTGTGTTGGCACAAGCACCTTGGGCACATCCATGCCTCTAGATCAGCAAATGATGCTTCCCACCAACTTTCTTTGAAGAGGGAGGGAGCTCATCTTCCCTCCCCATCCACAGCACGCGCCGGCAGGGAGGCAACAGTCCTCTGCTCGCCAACGGGATGGCAAATCGCTACTCTTCCCCATCCTTTGGTTGAAGAAAAAGGAGCTGTCTCAAAACGGAATGCTTTGCATTTACTCAAAAAAAGGTTTGTAAGAGAAATTTCACAACGAGTAAGTTCAAGAAATTGAGTATGTGGAGACCAGATAACAGCTCAGCGGTTACCCAGAGCGGTGAGTCTCGTCGGGGACCTGCCCTGTCGCTCAGCTCCCCTTGGTTGACTGCCAGCCATTAAATCCCTCTAACAGGATACCAATGAGGCAAACTAAAAATCAGAGCCTGAAACCTACAGCTTCCATCTCCTCTTCCCTGGAGGACCCGGCCTTGGCTGATGCGTCAGGCCGTGGCTCGGGAAGCAGCTGCTGCGCACGGCCTCTCGCCAACGCTATTCCTTCTTGGAGAGCTGAGCAGAGAAGATCCTGGCGATTCTTTTGGTTTCCTCTTCCGAGAGATCAGCTGTGGGCCGGGGACGAGTCGGCCTTCGGTATGGGATGCCTCCCGGCACAGCTCCGTTTCTGCTCTGTGGAGGGAAGGAACAAGGCATTAGAGCTCTGCCCCGTGCCCGTGTTCCGATCGTGGCAAACCACGGCGTTGCTGAATACACAGAAAAACACCCTCATGATGTGTTTTCTGTGGCTCACCCCTTCTCCTCGGAGGGGTTTTTCTCTTGTTCCGCACACTGAGAGGCAACTGCTTGGCAAAAGACTTGTTTGTTCCAACCGCTTGGACAAAAACCCATGGTGGTGAAGTATTTCCCTGCCCGGCACAGTATTAGATGCTGCAGCGCTGTTCTTTCCCAGAGCTGCAGAAAGCAAAAGCTGAAGACCAAAACTAGAAAGGTCCAAGCCACACAGTTTGGCTCTGGCAAGTGAAGACTGAAGTTGTGAATGTCCTACCCTCAGCCAAAGTCTCCTTTTATGAAGCCAAAGGAATTACCCCAGCATATTCACCCACCTCTAACTCTCTGAATTTTCAACTTTTTTTTCTTTCTTTTTTTTTTTAAATTTGCAGAACCCTACAGAAAACCAAAAACCAAGCCACCTTGCAAGGCTCCTACACAAGAAATTTAACCCTGCTGACAAATTAGATGGGCCAGTCCCAGTTACCTGCAGGGACCCCTAAGCAGCAGCCCATGAGATAAAAAACACTGTTTTAAGCATTTTAACATCATTTTTGTTTTGTATGCATCTTCCCAGCAGTCAGGCTTCCTCCCAGACCTTACAGCAGCGCTGAAGACCGAGAATTTCAGTGTGCAAAGAAACTCCCATTTCTCCCCCACTAGTTCAGAGCCAGGTCGTGGCTATGACGCGCCGGGAGAGAAGAGACCCGGCCGAAGCAAGAGGTGCCGTTTCAGGATGCGCCGCTCATGAGCTGCGGGGCCAGGAAGGTCTCCGGGCGAGCGGGGTTGGATTCGGAAAGCTGATATGCTGGTCCGGCCTTTCGCCTACATCGCTGGGCTGCTCCTCTGCCCCAGCTGGGCACAGCTGCGGTGGAGAGGTCTCCTAAGGTGAGCGGTTCCCTCTCAGGAGAAATGGCGCCAGGATCCTGTTCGTGTGCGCTCCGTTTGGGGAGGGAAATGGGTTTTTGAGGAATAAGTGTTTTTTGGAGATTTCTGGTGTTTGGTTACCTGTGCTTTACAGGCTCAGATGATGAACACTTTGAATATCAGCCCTGTGACAGCATCGCTGGTGAAGACCCTGATGGGAAAACAGTCTGTGGAAACAAAACACCCCCTGACCTACACAACTCGTGCTTGCTAGAGCCAAGCAAAGCACAAGAGG